GAGAGAGAGAGAGAGAGAGAGAGAGAGAGAGAAAGAGACAGAGACAGAGAGTGAGTCCAAGTGCCATGGTAAGCATGTGGAGGTTAGAGGACAACTTGTGGGAGTTAGTTCTCTCCTTCTACCATGTGGGTTCCAGGGACTGAACTCAGGTTATCAGGTTGGTGCAAGCACCTTGAACCACTAAGCCATCTCCTTGGCCCAGAAAATTATTTCAAGCATAGATGCTAGGGCTAGAGATATGCACCAGTAGTAAAGTGCTTGCCTAGTATGTGCAAGGCCCTGAGTCAAATCCCTAGCACCACAAAACACAAACACACAGATACCGAGTTTCTTTTTTTTTGAGACAGGGTCTCCCTGTTGTCCCAGCTTGCCGGGAACTTGCTATGTAGACCAGGTTGGCCTTGATCTCACAGAGATCTGCCTGCCTCTGCCTCCCAAGTATCTGGACTAAAGGCGTGTGCCACCACGCCTGGCTACAGATGCTAAGTTTTGTGTTGTTTTTTTTTTTTTTTTTCCTTTTGAAGCAGGGTCTCCCTGTAGCCCCAGCTGTCCTGGAACTCACTATGTAGACCAGGCTGGCCTTGAACTCACAGAGATCCGCCTGCCTCTGCCTCCCAAGTGCTGGGACTACAGGTGTGCGCCACTGTGCCCGGCTCAGATGCTAAGTTTTAATCTTTCCCACAAAATTCAGACCACAGTTGAGGGATGAAAGTATAACTGGACTACATGGGCCAGCAGTAAGGCAGAGACAGAATCCAGGAGGTATAAAAATGTACATGGGTCCCAGGCATCATTTCCTATGTCACAATGGACCTCCTTTATAGGCAGCTGGCAGCATGACAGTTCAAATATCCCTAACAGAATTTTTATGTTGGATGGGCAACCAACAGGAAGAGATGGAAAAACTCATAAAACTGGGTGGGAGCAAACAAAACTAGCAGCAGGTCCAGCCAGAGGAGGACTTGGTTTGGAGATTGATGTAGTTCCCTTGGGTAGACAAAGACATGCTATCTTCTCTGGAATTGTTCATCATCTTTTCAATGAGGACTCTTAAAAAAAAAAGGAAAATAAGAAAAATAAGCCTGAGAAAGCAGATGGAGGAAAAGGAGAATGGCAGACATTATTTTATCACCAGGCAGTACTTGGTTTAAGGGCCCTTTGTCCCCAGTTATCTTGGGGAAGCTGGCATTCCAGTGGCTCAATCTATTCTTGTTTGCTTAGAAACCAGAAAAGAGGGTCCCACAGGGCCACGGTGGGAAATGAGTGCATCCAGCTGCTTGTCCCTAGAACACTATGAGCTACTCACCTCATGGCTTCATTAATATTTTTGTTCTCCTTGACTGATGTTTCTGTCCAACCTGTGAAACCGTTCTCTTTACTGAACCGGTCGATCTGGTCCCGACTCACTGCCCAAGGGGACAGATCACTCTGAAAAAAAAAACCACATAAATGGCAACACCATAAACTTCATAAGAATAGGAACATAGCTCAGATACCTATGTGTTTAGAACAGTTTTCAATCAGTGGCTAAGAACACCAACATCAAAACTATGTAGCCAACATTCTTCCCAAAAAAAGTCACTCTCTCAGTGTCTCTTCAAAGGAAGGGGAAAACAAGCTAGGCACAGTAGTGGTCAGGTGGAGTGGTGCTAATTATAGTACCTGGGAGGTCGAAGGAGGATTTTAAGTTCTAGGCCAACCTTAGCTACACAGTGAGACTCTGTCTCAAAAACTAACAGGTAACAGAAAAGGGAATTGAGAGGAGGTAGAGTATAGGAACCTGGAAACACAGGGCATTTTAGACACCTTTACTCTGGCCACAAACAGATGCCAGGGACCATTTACTTAAACTGGCCACACACCTTGTTGGCCAAGAGCAGGCAAGGCACTGGCTCTCCACTGGGCAGCGTGAGCTTGCTGTCCAGGTCCTGTTTCCATCTTTGGCTGTTGCTGAAGGTAGTGGCATTGGTGACATCAAACATAATAACACAGGCAGAGGCGTCTCGATAGTACAGTCGTGTCATTGAAGTGAAACGCTCCTGCCCTGGAGAGAAGAGAGAGCTCTCAAGAAAGTGATCCTGAAAATAAGCAGCATCTCTGACAACCTGGCTACTCTCGTCACTGGGGGATGGGTGGTTGTACATGTGGTAAAGGGAGCCCTTTTCCTATGACTCTTGGTTTTCCATTTAATCCCACTAAGTGATTATTAAACCCAATTACTGAAGTAATCTACAGTGGAACTCTGATTCTGTATCCAAGTTGCCCAAATTCAGATCTCTGTTCTGCCATTTACATCTTATATGACTTTAAGGAAAGCAGGTTGAGTGTTTCAGATTTGTCATGTGGAAAGCAAGATATAAGTTTTCATGATAGGGCTGTTGTGAGGATGAGGCAGTAAATTTGAAATAAATCAAAGAAGAGTTCGCATAGTAAGGGTTCACTATTATTATTGCCTCAATAAGGGCTCAGTGTCATCTCTATTTTCCTGGGATCTTGTTTCTTACTAAAGTCAGCTGAAAAATCTAGAAAAACACCTGCCCTTGCTGGGGGAGCATCCACTTATGGACTGCACCTTACAAGCCTTCCATCCACGCAGAGAGGGCTTTACATCTATTTTGGGCAAAATATCTCCAAAAATTATCTCAAAATCTCAGAACAGCTCACTGTAGCTTTAGCAAAATTTTTTTTTCAGTTTTGCCATTCCATTTTTTTTTCCTGACAGTTTGTTGGTTAAATCTAATGATTTCTTCCCTTCTTCCTATCTAGCCTTCCCAGTTTACCTGCAATATCCCACAGTTGAAGTCGCACCATCTCTGAGTCAGACCACTGGAGAACTTTCAGAGCAAAATCCACTGAAAATATATGCATATTACACTTTAATAAAAATCTGCATTTAATAAAAAATCAGGGATGGGCTGGTGAGATGGCTCAGTGGCTAAATGTACTTGTTACCAAGCCTGACAATCTGTTCTACTTTGTTTCTCCATTGCTGTGATAAAACACTCTGACCACAACCAACCACTCTAGGGTCCTGTCCTGAGTTCCTACCTTGGGTTCCCCGATGAACTGTGATTCAGGAGATGTAAGACAAATAAACCCTTTCTTCCACAAGTTGGTAGTGGTCAGAGTGTTTTGTCACAGTAATGGAGAAACAAACTAGAACAGGAATTGATACCAGAGAGCAGGGCACTGCTGTGACAGGCCTGACCTTGGTGTTTTTAGGACTGTGGAAGTGTTTGGAACTTTGGGCTGGAAAAGCCATTGAGTGCTCAGAGTTTGTTGCTGTGGAGCTTGGAACAGGTATGTTGAAAGAGCTGTAGACAATGGAAGCCTGGCGTGTGAAGCGTCAAAGGGAAGTAGAGAGTATTAGAACTTTGTGATATTTTGGATTGAGACTCTGTGGGTTCTGGTCAGCTGGGGCTGAAGAATCAGCTGTGATTAAGAAGAGACCAGAACCTGAAGTAAAACCTTTGCTTTACTGGGACAACTGATGCTGGTTAGCTGGGGCTGAAAAATCAGCTGTAAGTAACAAGAGACTAGCATCACTGTGAAATCTTCTGGGAGTATTTCCTCAGGGTCAGCGTACAGAAGCTGTGGTACAGAGGGGACCCGAGTCTCCATCTCAAGCTGGAAGTGGGATTTGGTAATGTGTAAAAGTCTCCTGCATGGTTCTGGTGTTGAAAGCATGAAGGGGTCACAGAGAGCAGCTGAGGCTTGGCACCCTGAGAAGCCAGGAAAGGCCAGTGGTGAAAGTACAGCCTCAATTGCAGTGAAGACCCCAGGATTGAGGGGGTCATGGTGGGAATCTGAGGCTTTCCACCCCGAGGGGCCAGAAGAGGTCATTGGTGAAGGTTTCAGTAGAGATCCCAGCTTTTTGAAGATGCCAGGACCATGGGATGACCACCAAGTGCAGCAGCAGGTGTAGAATGGAGCTGGCCTGGAGTGGAGCTGCCAAAACAAACCCTTTGGAGCCCAGAAGATCGTGAGTGAATCTCAGATGTCCAGCCTTGAACTACATTGCTGGACTTAGGTTTTGCTTAAGGTGTGCCTGATTCTTCCCCTTGAAATAAGATAGTACTTGTTTTGGATTTTACAGGAGCTCACAATTATGAGACTTTTAAAAAAGAGACTGAACTTTTAAGTGTTTGGATTTTTTAAGGACTGTGGGGCTTTTAAGGTTGTACTGTCTTATGTTGGGATGTTAATATTAACATATCTTGGGGATAAGAAATGGAAAGGTTGTGATTTAATAGTGATATGTTTTGTGTGTAAGTTAACAAGAGGTCAGTTGTGCTGGATAGCTTTAGTGTCGATACACCTGGATAGAAGAAATCTCAATTGGGGAACTGCCTCCATTGGACTGGTCTGTGGCCATGTCTATGGGGAATCTTCTTGATTATTGAGTGATATGGGAGAGCCCAGCCCACTGTGGATGATGCCACCCCTGGATAGGTGGGCCTATGTTGTATAAGAAAGCAGGTTGAGGGGCTGGAGAGATAGTGCAGTGGTTAAGAACTCTGACTGTTCTTGTAGAAGACCTGGGTTCAAATCCCAGCATGCACATGGCAGCTAACAACTGTCTGAAACTCCAGTTCCAGGGACTCCAACAGCCTCTTCTGTCCTCCACAGGTATTGCACGACACAGGTGTACTTACCTACATGCAGGCAATACACACATACACATAAAATAAAAAGAAAGAAAGAAAGAAAGAAAGAAAGAGAAAGAAAGAAAGAAAGAAAGGTTGAGCATGTGCCAAGGGAGCAGGCCAGTAAGCAGTGTTCCTCCATGGCCTGTGCTTCAGCTCCTGCCTCCAGGTTTCTGCCCTGAGTTCCCACCTTAGGCTCCCTGATGAACTGTGACCCGGGAGATGTAAGTTAAATAAACCCTTTCCTCCCCAAGTTGGTATTGGTCAGAGCATTTTGTCACAGCAATGGAGAAACAAACTAGAACAAAACCCAAGTTTGACCTCCAGAGCCTATATGGTTGAAGGAGAGAACCAATCCCCTACAAGTTGTCCTGTGACTTCCACATGCATGTGTCAAGAGACACACATGCCCAACACATGTACACACACAAAATAAATTTTTAAATGTTTTTTAAAATTCAGAGATAAATCAGAACAAATACAAAAGCACAACCCCAGGAACATGAAACTGTTTAAGTCCTCAATAGGTGGAGGTGAGCCCATCAGGTGTATGAAGTGTGGGGCAGATAGTTCACTCTCTCCAAAGGCTCTCTCTTATCACACCAAGTTATTTGCTAGTACTTTTCTCCATGAGTAAGAACAGGGAAGTGGAAATGATTATGAAAAGAATTCCTATTCTCAGGTTGAATGGTTTTTCTGGGAGCTTGCAGGGGTTTTTTCTCAGGGACGATATGATGGAAGAGATGGAGGAAATGAGTTAAATGTGGCCAATCTTGTATCTTCCACATTCAACTTCACTGTTGGTGTCTAACCATATTACGAGAAAACACAATGAGAAATGCCACATCTTCCATAAAGCTGCAGGGATGGGATAAATAAAAAAGGGGCCCAGATTTCTAGAAGGATGAGGCAAGGGTTGTGCTGGAATCTGCCATCAATCTGTGGGTGCTAAGTCTCCATGAATTAAGGCTGAACATGTAATCCAGGGGAACCACCCAAACAACCTCAAACTTGCTATGCAGTTCAGGTTGCCTCCAATTTGGGATTTTCCCACCTCAGCCTCTTGAGTACTAGAATTACAGGTACAGGCAACCGTACTCCGCAGAAAAAAAGCTTTGTTTTTTTTGGGGGGGGGTCTTTTTGAGACAGGGTCTTCCTGCAGCCCCAGCTGTCCTGGAACTCACTATGTAGACCAGGCTGGCCTTGAATTCACAGGGATCTGCCTGCCTCTGCCCTCCCTCCCCCCAGAGTGCTGGGATTAAAGGCGTGTACCACCACGCCTGGCAGAAAAAAAGCTTTTTAAAAAAAAATTACTTATGGGTCTGGAGAGATGGCTCAGCAGTTAAAAACACTGACTGCTCTTGCAGAGAACTTGGGTTTGGTTCCCAGCACCCACCTGGTGGCTAACAACTGTCTGTAATTCCAGTTCCAGGGGATCTGATGGCCTCTTCTGACCTCTATGGGCACTTCACAACACGGGTGTACTTATGAACATGCAGGCAATACATGCATACACATAAAATAATAAATATTTAAAAATTTATTTATTTTTGAGACAGGGTCTCCCTGTAGCTCCAGCTGGCTATGTAGACCAGACTGACCTTGATCTCACAGAGATTTGCCTGCCTCTGACTCCTTGTGAAAAAACAAAACAAATCAAAAACAGTTGAGTCCAAAGGCCACACAGGGAAAGAAATAAATTAACTTCTGGTGTTCTCTACCCTTACCCCCCTTCCCAAGCGTGAGGGAAAAGGGTGAAAAGGTAGGCCACGTAGAGGGTGCATTTCACATTCCTCACATTTCCCAGCAATTCCTAGTTTACCTTCGTTACCCACACAGTTCATCAGCCCTGACCAGAATCCACCAAGAGGCTCATCTGGGGACCGCGTCCTTCAATCCTCCCCATATCCTAAATGGTTTTTTTTTGGTCTGTCTCTGCCTCCTGAGAGCTGGGATTAAAGGCGCGCGCCACCACGCTCCGCACATCCTAAGTCTTAACCAGTTAAGTCCTGGGTTCTCTTCCTTAGATCAAGTCACTTTTCGGTTCCTTCCTCAACATTTGTCTCAATCTCTGGAAGGGCAGGACAACAGCCCCAGCGGGCACTAACCTGGCCTTACCGAGGGTCTAGCCCAGGCTGGTAGAAGTTGCTCCTGGTATCTCGCGAGGCTGCGGGGTGCACGCCACCGAGCGCAGCCTTCCCCGCCACCCTCCCCTTCCCACTGGTCCCACCCCTGCTGGCAGCCCCCACCCCCACCCTGGCTCCGGGTTCTCTTCAGTCTGAGGTTAGGCATTCCCACCTTCGCCGGCCGAAGCGGTTCTGACGAGGAGGCAGAAAAGGAAACTCTGCACCCGGCCGTGGCGCGCTTCCTCCCGCGCGGCCGCAGCTTGGGTGGGGCGGGCGCCTGTTGGACCCCAGCGGTCCGCTCAATCGCTGCCCGCCGGGTCTCCAAGCTGCGCCCGGCGCGCGAGCCTGTCCCGCGGACTGCCGAGAGGCTGGTTGGCGCCCGAGTGCGGTCCAGCCCCTTACTCGGAGGGGGACACGAGTTCCCGAGCCCGCGTCCAACAGCACCCGCCGAATTGGGGGTGCGCGGACTCCATGTTCCTACCCCGGACTGGCGCTGGCGGCGCACTCGTCGTCTTCCTAATAGCCGGGGCAAGCCAGGCGGCTCAGAGCACTACATTTCCCACTGTGCCTTCCGGTGAAGCGACCTAGAGGTGGTGAAGATTTCCCCGCATGGCCTCCTGGGCAATGTATTTTGAGAAAATCTGCAGTTTCAGAGGCTTTCAATCTTTTCCAAACGTTCAATTCTTTTTTAAAAAATTCTTAAAATTTATTCATTTATTATTTATTTATTTACTTTTTTTTGAGACATTCTTTTAGGAATTCCTCACATTTCCCAGCAATTCCTAGTTTACCTTTGTTACCCACACAGTTCATCAGCCCTGACCAGAATCTCACAAGGGGCTCATCTGCGGACCGTGTCCTCCAGTCCTCCCCGACATCCTAAGTATTTTTTTTTTTTTTTTGTCTTTATGAGACAGGGTCTCCCTGTAACCCCAGCTGTCCTGTAACTCACTATGTAGACCAGGCTGGCCTTGAACTCACAGAGATCCGCCTGCCTCCACCTCCCGAGGGCTGGGATTAAAGGCGCGCACCACCACGTCCGGCTTATTTACTTTTATGTGAATGAGTGTTATGCCTGCA